TGTAGACTAAAATGTTTGATTTGTTACATTTTAAAATTGTTTAACACCATCCAGTCAAGACTGTACAGTTTATATGACAATGGGATTCAAGTACAAAGTAGGGATGTTAAAATGCATTTATTTTTGTAAATGTGTAACCACAGTGGTTACACATTTATATGTGATGGGGCAGGCAGGAGCCAGTGCTTGTAGAGAACCAGTTTTTAAACCGGCTCCCTGCAAGCACTGGCTCCTGTCTACACCCAGCCCCAACTGCCTCTGTATCAGAGGCAGTGATGGTGAGGGCCGGAGGACCCTGCATGTAACCGTTAGGATTAACCAATGAGCACAGGCTCACAGGTTAATCATGTACATGGCTACATGCCCATATCCTTAATACAGAACTATACAATAGTAACCCTCCTTCCCCTAAAATTGTGGGTACTGGAAATAAGAGCAAAAAAAATGAAATAATTCAACTATAATACTTCTGGGTTCACATCTACAAGGCAGTATCACTGTTGAAACAGAGCACTCCAACAAAAGGTACTGTTGCCACAATGCAAGTCCATTTCTATTATTAACAAATTCTCACACTGTCAAATTGTTACATTCAGCTGCACAACAAAAAGATTCCACCAGAGCTGATGTGATATCCCTATGATAGCACTGTCCACAGACACACCGAAGATCAAAATTTGTTTTTCAGATTTTTCCTCTGTGACACTTAGTCCTAGTTATAACTAGGGCCCTCCTCTACAACCTCTTTTAATGCATGGACATAAAAGCATACAATTGGTGGTGGAGTCTGACTGGTTAGGTAATTCTGTAGGTTACAATTGGTTATTAAAATGATACTAAAATATTTGGTTAAGGTAGAGCTAATCAGGACTCAAGCTTCATTATATAATCTGGGGCCCAAAAGAAAACTCTTTGGGAACCAACTCCAGGACACAGCTCCAAGACCAGAGCTGCTAGACCATAATCCTGTGCCAATGACACTGCACAGAGACTGGAGTCCCCCAGATGGACTTGACTGGCTATCAAGACAAGTTCTTCTGTCTTATTGGGAGTGGTGAGCACTGTTTACCTGATGTGTGCATCTGTTTTGATTATTGTTAATAGGGCTGTCAAGCAATTACAAGAATTAATCGTGATTAACTGCGCGGTTAATCCTGCTGTTAATAATAAGAATACTACCTATTAAAATATTTTTGGATGTTTTATACATCTTCAAGTATATTGATTTCAATTACAACACAGAATACAAAGTATATAGTGCTCACTTTATATTTTTTTTATTACAAACATTTACACTGTAAAAAAACCCAAAAACACACAAAAAAAAAACCACTTCAGTTTACCTCACTGAAGTATTGTAGGTAAAGAACCTGGGATCAGCCCCTTTGAAATGCCACAGCAGCGTTACAAAGGTGCAGCGTGGCGGGGAGCCCAGGATCAGCTGGAATCCCCAGCTGACCCTGGGCTCCATGCAGCATTGCCCCAGCGGCGTTTCAAAGGGACAGCACCACACAGCTGATCCTAGGGCTGCCCCTTTAAAACACTGCCGCGGTGCGTTTCAAAGGCGTAGCGCTGCACAAAGCCAGGGGTCAGTTGGGGACTGCAGCTGACCCTTTGAAATGCTGCAGCAGTGTTTCAAAGGGACAGCACCGCACAACTAATCCTGGGCTCCATGCAAACGCCTGCGATTAACGCATTCGTTTTAACACATTAATTCTGCCCTGTGTTAATCGCAGGTGTTAACGTGTGTTAATTAACAGCCCTAATTGTTAATAGAGATTAAGCAGGATAATACCGTGTAAGGCTCTTTCGCTGTAAAAGACCCCTCAAAGTCTAAGGTTATGTCTAAGCCAGCAGAAGGGTAAGGATGGGTACCTATATTGGAAAGGTTACAACCTAGAAACAGGCAAGGGTGGGTGCCTCTAGACAGAGTATTTTGTGCAAGTAACAACAGCTAGGTTTTTTGTTTCTAATGGTGGTGCGCATTCGCACATGCTGAGGCACACATTAAAAATTCGTTCCACACATGGATGGAAAAGATTAGAGGGAACATTGTATGGAATAATGATAAAATTGATCAAGGACAAACATTCAGTTTTAAATTATTTTAGTGGACAATTCTGTCTGCAAAGGATTAATAAGCAAAAAACTTTAAAAAAAGATCCTCACCCTTAATAAAAATGTCAGAATAAGATTTCCAAGTGTCAAAACGTTTCTAGAGACAAAAATATACTCAGACCATCTTACAAAATCTCGAACAACAATGCACAAGTTACTGTGTCATAACTTTAAGTGAATATTACAGTCAAGTTATAAGTCTCCTACTAGCCTCCATAAACAAAGGAGACTGTTCAATGTCTAACACCTCCACTTTTACTTAGCTCAAACTTCTAATGAGAAGGTAAATTACTTACTGGGATAATAAAAGCCAAGGTTTTTCCTGATCCAGTCTTTGCGGCTCCAAGAACATCTTTACCTTGCAAAGACAAGCCTATCGTCTGCCTCTGTATTTCAGTTACCATGCGATACTGGGCTTCTTGCAAACCTAGTATTTGGGAAAGAAAAAAAAAAAAATATTCTTACTTTTTGCCTTAGAATCTGATGCATTTTTCCATTAGGAAAAATACTGCAGGTAGAAACATTATCTTAGCACTTTGATATTTAAAAATAAAAACTCTTTAACCTGCCAATGAATAAAACTGATTTAAAAAAATTGCCTTTTTTATTCAAATACTTTTCTAAGAACTATACTATACTTACCTTTCAGTGTTTTCTTTGACAATGGGAAATCTGAAAATCTTTCAATTTCATTTGGGTTTATCTGAAACAAAAGGATTTAATCAGTACTAATATTTAAGAACACCATGGGATTTAAATCAAATCATTTTAATATGCTGATAATATAGTTGAACTGTTAAGTGGGTTAATTCTAGGGGTACGTGGTCATCAATATGAACCAGATAACTGGCAGTAAAAGATCTTCCACCTACACATAGGCATAGTGTGACTTCCATATTTGGGGACAAGCTCTAGTCAGGCCACTGAGGCCCCACATAAGGCATGCAAATTTCACACCTTCTTGATGCGTGCAGTTTGTAAGAGGGATCAATGCTAGGGATGTAAGCAAATAGTCGAGCAGTCAACTACCCGATAGCTGCCCAATAAGCTTAGGCTTGAGTTACATGGTTCCCCTCCCCCACTTGCTGCCTCTAATACTGAGGCAGCAAGGGGAAGCAGGAGCTGGTGCTGGAAGGAGCCGGCTTAAAAGCTGGTTCCCCCCCAGCACCATCTCTGCGATGCCACCTGCCCACTCACTCCCGGCCATGCTGCTGCCTATATAAGAGGCAGGCAGCCCAGCTCTTACTACATTTAAACTGCAGAGTGGTAGCGAAGTTGGTATGGGATGCAGAGTAAGCCAGAACTCAGTAGCCCTGGCTTGAGCCAGGTTCCTGACCACTATGCCTCTGCCTTACCCGCCCCTACCCCACCATGCTGTAGAAACAGTGCTGGGGGGAACTGGAATTTAAGACGGCTCCCGCCAGCACCAGCTCTTGCTTCCCCTCAGTCCCTTTGCTGCCTCTGATATAGATGCAGCTAAGGATGTTAAGGACTCGTCGACTAGTCGATTCCGCCCCACTTGCTACCTCTATCAAATAGAGGCAGCAAGGGGGGGGGGAAGAAGAAAGGGTACTTCAAAGCAGGAGCACCGCACGGAGTTGACCCCAGGCTCCATGTGGCACTGCACCTTTGAAACGCTGCTGCAGCATTTCAAAGCGGTAGTGCCACATGGAGCTTGGGGTCGGTTGGGGACTCCCTAGCCGACCCCAGGCTCTTGGCAGCATTTCTGTGAAACCCAGAGTCAGCTCAAGAGTCCCCAGCTGACCCCAGGCTCCGTGTAGTACTGCCACTTTGAAATGCCAAGTGGAGCATGAAATCCTCAGCTGATCCCAGGTTCTGGGGAAATGCCACGTCGAGCCCAGGTTCAGCTGGGGAGTCCCCAGCTTATCTTGGGAAATTCCATCAACTACAGTAAACTTCCGATAATCTGGCACCTTTAGGTCCCAGGGGGTGCCAGATTATCAGATATGTCGGACTATCGGAAAGGGGGGCTATGAGGGGTCTGGAGTGGGTTGGGAGAGGATGCCACCCCAAACTCCTCATAGCCCCCCTTTCCGATAGTCCGACATATCTGATAATCTGGCACCCCCTGGGACCTAAAGGTGCCAGATTATCGGAAGTTTACTGTAGTTGATGGAATTTCCCAAGATAAGCTGGGGACTCCCCAGCTGAACCTGGGCTCGACGTGGCATTTCCCCAGAACCTGGGATCAGCTGAGGATTTCATGCTCCACTTGGCATTTCAAAGTGGCAGTACTACACGGAGCCTGGGGTCAGCTGGGGACTCTTGAGCTGACTCTGGGTTTCACAGAAATGCTGCCAAGAGCCTGGGGTCGGCTAGGGAGTCCCCAACCGACCCCAAGCTCCATGTGGCACTACCGCTTTGAAATGCTGCAGCAGCGTTTCAAAGGTGCAGTGCCACATGGAGCCTGGGGTCAACTCCGTGCGGTGCTCCTGCTTTGAAGTACCCTTTCTTCTTCCCCCCCCCCTTGCTGCCTCTATTTGATAGAGGTAGCAAGTGGGGCGGAATCGACTAGTCGACGAGTCCTTAACATCCTTAGCTGCATCTATATCAGAGGCGGGCGCTACCAGACCAACCCAGCAGCGCCCCAGCTGCTCTGTCCCAGGCATCCGGATTCAGCTGCTGTTGAAACTGACCAGCGGCTGACTCCAGGAAGCTTGCATTCCAGATCCAGTTCACCAGGGTTAGCCACTGGCAAGCCCCCACACCACCACATTTACCTGTGCGTCCACAAGTACGGGGGATCATAGCACTTGTTGGCCATGAATCGCCATTCCTGGCCAATGGGAGCTGCAATCACCCACACTTGTAAAGGTGAAGGTAAACACAGAAGCAGCAGCCCACCAGGGGCTAACCCTGGTGAACCACGGCCATTTAATTGCCCTCACCCCCTTTAGTATGTACCGTAGCAGTTCAATTGAGATCTTAAACAACATCATCTAAGCTCTTCAGAAACATCCATTTGTAATGAAAAGCTAAGATATACAATCAAGGTTTAGGCATTCCAGATACTACTTGTCAAAAAATCCAAGGCATGACATGCAATTAACTGTTCATACTAAATAGCTAATAAAACAATATCAAACCTTAAGCTGAATTTCTCTAGATTTTTCTTAAACTGTGCTACCAATAGGGACCCTCTGTTTCTTACCCCTTCTACCAGGGCCCCCATACTTTTTCCCCATACCCCAACCTGGGGTATCCTATGTTTCACTCCTGCCACCCTGATCGACCCCTTCCTTGTCTGCTCTACACCAAGGAGCCTCAATGCAATGGAGGAAACTGACCACAAAAGCTGCAGTCAGAAAACCCTGGCTTCTGGAGAAGTGGCAGTGTTCTCTTTAAGCTAGGTGCTTGGGTGGGCACCCAGAAGAGTCAAATTCCACCCAGCTAATGAACCAAGTGCCCACAGTCAGCAGCATGCGTGTCCCATGGTGCTGCACATCCACACATGCTTTGGTGCGTATAACAAAACGTATTCTGCACATGGATGGAAAAATTAGAGAGGATACTGAGGAGCGGACTTGCCTGAGTGGTGCAGCAGGTAAGAGCAATGCCCCACTGCGGGCAGCCTGGCTCCCGCCCCCGCTGCCCCTCTCAGCCC